TGTTTAAAAGGTCTGTATTTTAGTGCCAAATGTCGTCTCCCTTTTTAAAAATTGGGATTTACTTTCCCTTCTTTTCCTTCCCTGGGGTTGCCCAGTTTCAAATGATGTTTTTAAAGATCTTTGTTAAGGCTCACACAATATCTTGCTCCTCTTTAAGGGGCCCCTTTGGGAGATGTTGTTGGTTCCCCCCACCTTTGGGTGTTTAAATTCGCCCCAGCAGCTTCTTCACCTCCTCCTTGTTTTTATGTAAACCCTTTTCCGACTTGTGGGGGTGCCCCCCCGTTTGATTTCTTGGAGTCCCACTGGTTTCCACTGTTTAAAAAAATCTTTTAATTTGTGTTTAGCTCCCCCGACAAACCTCTCGGGGCGTTTCTTGTGAAAATTTCCCCTCACCCTTCCCCAGGGCGATTACCTGGTTTTTGGGCTGTTGTTTTCCCCTGATGTGGTGGTTTCAAAAAAGCCCTTTGGGTCACTTTTTCTTTTGATGGGTATGTCATTTTATAATTTTCTCCCGAGCCTCCCCCTTTTAAACTGTGATATTCGTTTTTGGGTCTTTGGCTTTATTTCTTTATTTTCCCGAATTCTCTGTCTTTTGTACCTTTTTCCTTTTTCTGTACCCCCTAGTTTTTGCCCCCTACACCTTTGGGTGAAAACCCAAAGGGTCGTTCTGTTCTTTCCCCTTTTTTCTGTTTTTCCCCTTTGGGGAAAAAACCTTTTTCCTCTGCCCCCCTTGCATTTTTTTCTGTAAAATAGTCCATCATTTCTTTATAATTTGGGGTTTTTTGTCAGTTCCCCCTCCCACTGAATGTCTTGAAAGGGAAAGTTCCTCATGCCTGAGTTGGGTTCCCCCTTTTTTTTGTTTGGTTTTTTTCCCCGCCTTCCTGGGTACTCTTCCCCTTTGGGGTCAATATGTAGTCGAAGCACGAAACCATTTTATCACTAGCTCCCGGGGCCCTTTCCCTACATGGTACCCTCGGGTGTCCCCAAATACCTGGTGAATTTTCAAGGGCCAGCCCTTTCTGGTTTTATCCTTCCCCCTCTCCTGGTGGTCTCTAACCCCTGTTGATTTCATGAGGTTTTCCCCCTACCACATCCATTTTCTTGGCTTTTCCATGTTTTTGGAACCCCCCTGGGGCTCCCGGTTTTCCCGTCAATCTCCTTGTTATTGAAATCACCCAAAAACTTTGTAACTTTGCTCCCCTTGTGTTCTTCCTGGCCCCCCGGCTAGTGTGTCGATCTTGCTCTGTTGTTCAAAGTATTTTCTCTTGGCTCCTGCAGTTTTTGTGGGGGTTTTTTTACATTACTCAATTATTTAAATTTTTGTCCCTCAGACTGGATTGTTCCCAAATAAGTGTCCCTTTGCCCATGCCATCCATTCCCTTTCCAAATTTTCTCAAAACCCCCCTGGTTTTTTTTAAAGAGCGTGCAAAATCCTCCTCCCCCCCTCCTCCCTCTGTCTTTCCCGAGGGGTTTGATATCCGGGGAAAAAATTGAATTCTGTTTTTATTCTGGTTTATTTTGTTTCCCGGGGAGCCCCTATTTTTTCTGGGGATGTCTCTTTTATTCTTTCGTGCCACTCCTCTTTCTTGTTTTTTATTTATCGGGTTTGTATTTCCCCCACCTTCAAATTCTTTTCCCAAGAATGTGGTATGGGAAGTATTTTGGGGGGTTGGGGGAAGTGGGGGACCTGGTAAGGAAATTGGGTTGTGGGTGTGGGGGTGAAAATTCGTAATTTGTTGTGGGTGGGGGCATTGGGGTGTGGATGGGTGTTTTGTTTTTGGGGTGTTAGGGTTTAAAAGGGGGTTTAACCGGGGTTTGGGGGGCTTTTAGGAAGTTGTGAGGGAGGCCCGTATTTGATTTTTTTCCCGGGTTTTGGGATCTCCTGTCTGTCTTCTCCCTCCCCCCTTTTTTCCTCCCTTTTTCCTTTGTACCATCTGTGTGTGTGTTTTGTTTTGTGTGTGTGTTGGTGTTGGGGTGTTGGTTTTGGGGTGTGTTGGGTGGGGTGTAATCCCTAATTGTAAATCCCTAATTTTTGGTTTTCAGGGGTCGAGACTCAGTCCCGGCCCCCCCTCTTCACTGTTTCCTACTGGGTCCTCTCTCTCTTTGGGTTCCTGAGTGTGTTTTGAGAGTTTGTGTGTGTGAGAGAGAGTGTGTGTGTGTGTGAGAAATGTGTGGGGGCAAAAAGAGTGTGTGTGTTTGTTGTAGGAGAATGTGTTTTGTGTGGAGAGTGTGTGTGTGGGAGAGAGAGTGTGTGTGAGAGGGGGAAAAGTGTGTGTGTGGAGAGAAGTGTGTGTTGGAGAGTGTGTGTATTTTGGGGGTGGAGTGTGTGTTGGGGAGGAGAGAGGTGTGTGTAGAGGGAGTGTGTTTTGTGTGGGGGTGGGGGTTGTGTGTGAGAGAGAGTGTGTGTGTGAGGAGTGTGTGTTTCGTGAGGAAGGAGTGTGTGTTTTGGCGAGGAGTTTTGTGGAGGGGAGAGGTGTTTTGTGAGAGAGGTTATGTTGGTTTTGAGGCAGTGTGGGGTGTGTGGAGAGAGTGCGTGAGGGGAGAGAGTGTGTGGGGTGAGTGTTGTGAGAGAGAGAGTGTGTGTGTGGAGAGAGAGTGTGTGTGTTGGGGAGAGTGGTGAGAGAGGAGAGTGTGTGTGGAGAGAGAGGGGTGTTGGGGTGTGTGAGGGAGTGTGTGTGTGTGAGGGTGGTGTGTGAGAGAGAGAATGTTGTTGGGGTGTGGAGAGTGTGTGGAGTGTGTGGAGTGTTTGTGAAAAGGTTTTGTGTGAGAGTGTGTGAGAGTGGGGTGTGTGTGTGAGAGGAGGGAAAGTGTGTGTGAGAGGAGGAGGAGTTGGTGTGTGTGGTGTGTGGGTGTGTGTTTTACTCACCTAAATTTAAATACCTAAATTGTGGTTGCAGGGGTTTGGACTAGCTCCTGGCCCCCCCTCTTAATGGGTCGTACTAGGTTTCCCCTCTCTCTCTGCTTTCCCGAGGGTTTGTCTTTCCTTTTTCTTAAAACTATGTTTGGTTCCTGCCTCCACTACTTCACTTGCTAGGGCCCATTCTACTTTTGGGCGACTCTATGAAATAAGAAATTTCTTCCTAAAAAACCCTGGACTCGTTTGAGTCTTCAGTTTTCAAAGGGTTTGAACCCCCTTTTTCCCGGGGTCCCCCCCCCTGGAAACATCCTATCTCGGTTCCCCCCTTGTTGGGGAGGTTGTGAGAGTGGAGAGAGAGGGAGAGTGTGTGTGGTGTGAGAGAGGGAGAGAGAGAGTGTGTGTGGGGGGGTGGGTGTGAGGAGTGTGTGAAAGGGGAGAGAGAGAGGGAAAAGTGAGGTGTGTGGAGAGGTGTGTGAAATGGGAGAGGAGGGAGTGGTGTGGGGGGTGTTTTGAGGAGAGAGAGGGGGTTGTGTGTGTGGTGTGTGTTTAGAAAGTTTGTGAGGGGGAGAGAGAGGGGAGAAGAGAGGGGAGGGGAGAGAGGGAGAGGAGAGAGAGAGAGAGAGGCGAGAGAGGAGAGGGGAAAAAGAGAGAAAAGGGAGAGAGGACCCCAGAAGGAGGGGAGAGGAGAGGAAAAGAGAGGGTGAGGGGAGGCCCCCGAGGCCTGATTTCGAGGAAGAGAGAGAAAGAAAAGGGGGAAGGGGGGAAGGGTGATCGGAAGAGAGGAAAAAAGGAGGGAAGGGGTTGGGTTCCCCCTTTTGGTTTGCCCCGCCCCCCCTTTTAACTGCGGAAAAAAGCTTTTTACAAAAGGGTGAAAGAGCAAGCTTCATCTCTTCCCCTTTACCCATCCTTTAGATCTTCATTTCCCGGAGGCCTTAAACATTGGAAGGGGGGTTTTGGGGGGGTAAAGTTTTGTAAAAGGAAATTGGCCTAGTCCCCAAATTATCCACTTGAGGCCTAAAAAAAGCTTTTTCCCAAAAAAGGGAGGAAACAGCAATTACTTGGCTTTAAAATTTCCTAAAAATTTAAAAAACTTTAAAAATTTGGGTCTTAACCTTGAAACCCCCGTGTAAAAAAAGGGAAGAAAGAGGAAAGGGGAAGGAAGGGACCAAAGAAAAAGGGACCAGAGGTAAAACGAAGAGGAAAAAAAAAAGTTTTAAGGGGGAAGGAAAAAGCCGGTAAAAGAGGAAAAGAAAGGAAAAAAAGAAAAAGGGTTTTTTGAAGGAAAGAAAAAGAGAGAGGGGAGAGGGAGAGAGGAAAAGGAATTATTTCCAAGAAAAAAAATTTTTTAAAAGAAGTTTTTAAATAAAGAAAAACAAAAATAAAACAAAACAAAAAAACATTTTTAAAAAAAAAACCAGGGGAATGAAAATTTAAGAGGAAGGGGAGGAGGGGAGATGACCCCGGAAAAAAATAGGGGGGTTCCCACATCCTAAATTTTTTAAAAAATTTTTTTAAATTTTATCCACAAAAAATTTTAAAAAAATTTCCCTTTTTGAAAACCAAATTAAAACTTTCCCCAAGGGGGTTTTTTAAATTTTTAAAATTTTAATTATTTTATTTTATTTTAATTTTCCCCCTACACCAGGGAAAATGCCGTGTTTTGGGGGGGGGGTTGGTTGGTGTCCCCGGTTGGGGTTTTGTTTGGGGTGGTGGGGGGTTTGTTGTGGGGGTATTTTGGGTTCTGTGGGATTGCTTTGGGACATTGAAACCCAGGGGGGTGTTGGTTGTTGTGTTGTGTTGTCTGGGGGTTTTTGGGGGGCCCCTGGGTTCCGGTGGGTACTTTTCTAAAAAGGGGGACATTTGTCCCATTAACCCCCAGGTGAGTTTGTGTTGGTTGTGTTGTGTTGTGTTGTGTTGTTTTGTGTTGTGCTGTGTTGTGTTGTGTTGTGTTGTGTTGTGTTGTGTTGTGTTGTGTTGTGCTGTGTTTGTTGTGTTGTGTTGTGTTGTGTTGTGTTGTGTTGTGTTGTGCTGGGTACTGTTGGGTACTGCTGGGTACTCTCTACCTGTGGACATTGATCCCATACCCTCAGGTGAGTGTTGTGTTGTGTTGTGTTGTGTTGTGCTGGGTACTGTTGGGTACTGCTGGGTACTGCTGGGTACTCTCTACCTGTGGACATTGATCCCATACCCTCAGGTGAGTGTTGTGTTGTGTTGTGTTGTGTTGTGTTGTGTTGTGTTGTGTTGTGTTGTGTTGTGTTGTGTTGTGTTGTTGAGAGGGTTTGTGGAGATATGGTTGGAGTTAAACACACTTGGTGGATGGTAACACATATATTAGCAGAGTGTGAGAGGGGGAGCCCAGCCTCTGCCTGTCCTGTTGCCTGTAGGTCTATGTGAGAAGTGAGAATGGGACAGCGCATCCCATGCTCACATGCGGCATCACGTGACGTCACACATGCTAGCCACTGAGCCTAAAAAGGGGTCAACTATGTAAAACATATGGATGGTACTATGATACTCAGATATCATACATATACCGGGGATCAGCAACTATGCTGACAGCTCGGTCATGTTACATATGTCATCTCGACATACAATACTATGCTATAGGCTGAACAGGCAGGTGGCTCTGGGCTGATTCTATACAATAGCAAAGACATACGTAACTTAGAACTAATGGATGGTATCGTAATGGGTGTTAACATAATGCATTACGAATTATAAAAACAAATCACAGTATAATAAAAGATGGAATTGATCAATTGATCTGTATTTATGCTGTCTACAGATTCTGAGGAAGAATATATATATTTACAAAGGTGAAAGTAATTAACAGCAAAGGCAGACCATGCGCGCTCAGGTCACACTGCTAAATCTCAGAATTCGGAGGGATGCCTTCGTAAGGACTCGGCTAGCAAATGCAACTGCATTGTACTTGCCATCAGTTCTGAGCTAGTACGGCACCTATGCCAATAGAACTAGCATCAGTTGTCAGATAGAAGGGATTAAAAAAGTCTGGAAATTTCAAAATTGGAGCAGATGTTAGCTTTTCTTTTAGTGTTTGGAATGCTCTTTCTTGACGGAAGGTCCAAACAAAAGGAGCATCTTTCTTAAGCAACTCAGAGTAGCAGCTATGGAAGAAAAATTGGCAATGAAAGATCTATAAAAACCTGCTAAGCCCACAAAGAATCTTATGGCATCAGCAGTTTTGGGAGTTGGAAAATTTAGTACTGCCGTTACTTTACTTTGGTCGGTCGTAACCCCTCTAGGAGTGACTACGTGACCAAGAAACTTGATTTCTGATCTGAAAAATTGACATTTAGACAGTTTGATCTTTAAATTGGCTTCTTCAAGCTTATCAAGTATTACATCAAGTCTCTTCAAATGTGTATCCACGTCTTCAAACATAACGATTACGTCACCTAAGTACACCATAAGTGCATTACCTATGAAACCTCTAAAGACATTAGTCATGAACCTTGAGAATGTGATAGGCCAAGATCATAACCCAAACGCCATACGGAGGAAGTGATAATGACCTGTAGGAGTGGAGAATGCAGTTAGCTCTTGTCTGTCCTCGTGAAGAGGGACTTGCCAAAACCCTTGTAACAAGTCCAAGGTTGAAAAGACTTGTTATCTCCGATGTTACGTAAAAGATCACCAAGTATGGGGAGTTTACCTGGAGTTTACCTGGAGAGAGTTCCGGGGGTCAACGCCCCCGTGGCCCGGTCTGTGACCAGGCCTCCTGGTGGATCAGAGCCTGATCAACCAGGCTGTTGCTGCTGGCTGCACGCAAACCAACGTACGAGCCACAGCCCGGCTGGTCAGGAACTGACTTAAGGTGCTTGTCCAGTGCCAGCTTGAAGACTGCCAGGAGTCTGTTGGTAATCCCCCTTATGTATGCTGGGAGGCAGTTGAACAGTCTTGGGCCCCTGACACTTATTGTATGGTCTCTTAATGTGCTAGTGGCACCCCTGCTTTTCATTGGGGGGATGTTGCATCGTCTGCCAAGTCTTTTGCTTTCATAGTGAGTGATTTTCGTGTGCAAGTTCGGTACTAGTCCCTCTAGGATTTTCCAGGTGTATATAATCATGTATCTCTCCCGCCTGCGTTCCAGGGAATACAGTTTTAGGAACCTCAAGCGCTCCCAGTAATTGAGGTGTTTTATCTCCATTATGCGCGCCGTGAAGGTTCTCTGTACATTTTCTAGGTCAGCAATTTCACCTGCCTTGAAAGGTGCTGTTAGTGTGCAGCAATATTCTAGCCTAGATAGAACAAGTGACCTGAAGAGTGTCATCATGGGCTTGGCATCCCTAGTGGGAAGCGATCTGGAATAGTTTTCGCATTTAACTTCCTAAAGTCAATTACTGGGCGCCAAGTGCCATCCTTCTTAGGCACTAGGAACAAGGGCGCATTCCAGGGTGAATTGCTAGGTGCAATAACTCCATCATCAAGCATTTGATTGATCAATTCTTCTGCGACAGCAACTTGGGAATGAGGTTTCTGTTAGGGATATAGATGGTCTAGTACCAGGGTTTAAGTGGATACATGGGACAATAAATTCGTTATTCCCCTCTTCTCACCTGGTAAGGCAAAGGGTTTTCGACGTTTGTTAAAAAGAGCAACAAAAGCTTGAACCTTGGGAAATCAGTGGGAGCAAAATCTTTCTCCTCAACGGTGGAACAGATTGATCCGGTGAAGTGGTGGGTCTCCCCGGGAGAAATAACACCGACCCCCTGGTCAGGGGACAAATCATCCTCTACCTGGAAAGGGTTAAAGGTGTGAACAAGGTCAACAAATTGTATTTGCTCTGGACGAACACGTGACCCGAAAGGGTTGGGAGGGGAAATGGGGTCTTACTATCTTTTCAACATGTAAGGTGGTTCAACAAATAACCTTTTACTTTGCAAAAATCACTGTCAACTGGAGTTATACCTTGGGAACACTAGGAACAATACAGAACTTAGTGAGGGGACTAGCTGCGAAGAACGTCTTTCTCAGGGCGGATGTGACATCAACAAAAAGATGGGATTATAGTTGCAAGTAATTTTTTTCCACAAGGGGTCCCCCGTGGAGAAATACTACTTTTAAAGCAGACATTGCAGGGATAGGGTAGCACTAAGGGCAAGCGTCCTCGGGCATTGAGGGAACTGGGCATATCTGAAAAACCGAAGTTCAGGAAAACAGACAGGATGACAGGATCATCATGCCTGACCCTTTGGGGCCTATGGAAAAGCACTGGCCGTAAGGACTTAATTCGAAAAGTCGTCCTCTGCCCGGGGTATGGGAGATCTCGGATCCAAAGGGTAACCCCAAAATGGTACGTAAGTCATCAAATTTGGGGATGCCACCGATAGGGTCGAGCACAATACGTGTCTTTTATGGGAAAAAAATCCCCGTAGATCACCCGGGAAAGTAGTTGGGCGACAACAAGGAAAGAAGCTCAAGCCCCGACCTTGGAAAGAAACGTGGGGAAGGCGACCTCGGACACGAGGAGGGAACCACTACTCCACAAGGGGGGGAGCGACCCCGGCACGCAGAGGGAACCGCTACTCCCCTAAAGGGGGGGGAGCGACTCGGCACGCAGGAGGGAACCAGCTACTCCATAAGGAAGGGGCGACTCGGACACGCAGGGGGAAACCCGCTACTCCCCCTAAAGGGAGGGAAGAGCGACCTCGGACAGCAAGGGACCCCCGCTACTCACTAAGGGAGGGAAAAGCGACCTCGGCAGCAGGAGGGGAACCCGACTCCCCTAAGGGGGGGAAAACGACCTCGCACGAGGGGGGAACCCCTACTCCCCAAGGGAGGGGGCGACCTCGGACACGCAGGAGGGGAACAGCTACTATAAGGGAGGGAGACCCCCGACACGCAGGAGGGGAAACCAGCTACTCACTAAGGGAGGGGAGCGACCTCGGGCACCAGGAGGGAAACCCGCTACTCCCTAAGGGGGGGGAGCGACCTCCTAAGAGGAGGGAAACCCGCTTACTCCCCCTAAGGGAGGGAGGACCTCGGACACGCAGGAGGGAACCGCTATCCACTAAGGGGGGGGAGCGACCTGGACAGCAGGAGGGGAACCCGCTACTCCCCTAAAGGGGGGGAGCGACCTCGGACACGCAGGGGGAACCCATACTCCATAAGGGAGGGAGCGCCCCCCCGGGCCGCAGGAGGGAACCAGTCTCCCCCTAAGGGAGGGGAAGAGCGACCTCGGACAGCAGGAGGGAACCCTCTCCCCCTAAGGGAGAGCGACCTCGGGCACGCGGGGGAACCAGTTCCACTAAGGGAGGGAGCGACCTCGGACACGCAGGAGGGAACCAGCTACTCCACTAAGGGAGGGAAGAGCGACCTCGGACACGCAGGAGGGAACCAGCTACTCCACTAAGGGAAGGGGAGCGACCTCGGACACGCAGGAGGGAACCAGCTACTCCACTAAGGGGGGGCGACCTCGGACACGCAGGAGGGAACCAGCTACTCCACTAAGGGAGGGAGCGACCTCGGACACGCAGGAGGGAACCAGCTACTCCACTAAGGGAAAGCGACCTCGGGCACGCAGGAGGGAAAAGTCTCCCTAAGGGAGGGGGCGAAACCCCGGACAGCAAAGGGAACCGCACTCCCCTAAGGGGAAAGCGACCCCGGACACGCGGGGGGAACCAGCTACCCACAAGGGAGGGGGCGACCTCGGACACGCAGGAGGGAACCGTATCCACTAGGAAGGGATACAGGGGGGGTTCCACAGGGAAACGAAACCCCCCCAAAACCCCTATACAAGGGGGAAAGGGCCCCGGACAAGCAGGAAAGGGGAACCCCTATTTATGGGAGGGGAACATTTGGGGTTGAGGGAAGTTAAAAGTTTTTTTAAACAAAAATTTTTTTAATTGACAAAAACCAGGACGACATGGTTTGTTTGTGTTTTTGTTGGTGGGTTTTGGTTTTGTGTGGGGGTGGTGTTTTGTTTTTGTTGGTTGTTGTGGTGTGGTGTTTTGGTGTGTTTGTGGGTTTGGGTTTTGTTTGTGTTTGTTTTTTTGTTGTGTTGTGTTTGTTTGTGTTGTGTTGTGTTGTTTTTTGTGTTGTTTGTTTTGTTGTGTTGTGTGTTGTGTTTGTGTTGTGTTTGTGTTTGTTTGTGTTGTGTTGTTTTGTGTGTTGTGTTTGTGTGGTGTTGTGTTTGTGTGTTTTTGTTTGTGTGTGTTTTGGTTGTTTGTG